AGCCACAGGACTGCCCCCACACACATCCCCGCTGCCCAATATGGGGGGAGGGTCAGGAGGCAAAAGGGCTCTTTGGGCGCTGGGAGCAGGCGTGAGGCCAAGTGATGCCTGGAACCCTTGGCGTCACCTGGAGGGACGCACATTTCACAGACCCTCACCCCCAGCTCCTGCCAAGACTCAGGGATCGTGTGCCACCTCCCACCCTCCATGCAACACTCCCTGGCATTCGGAAGGACAGGGCTGTGGCAGAGCCGGGTTTGTGCCCTGCTGGGATGCTTACACAGACCCCTCCCTGGTGTGCGTCCTCAGGTTGGCCTGCTGCCCCCGCCCCTCCCGTGGGCTGGCTCTGGGAGGGAGACTCAGCGCCATCAGCCTCAGAGAGAAATCAGTTCCCTTTGATGGAACCACTTTCTGGCAGGAAGAAATTTTAAATTGTCTGGCAAATCAAGCCTTAAACAGAACCAGCTTGTCTGAGGGTGAACAGCCTTAAGAGCAAATGAGCAAATGAGCAGCGCTGACGAATCCCCACAGGCCTGCACTTGGGGTGGGCTGCACTGTGGGCGAGTTGGAAGCGACTTCAAGGGAGCGCAATCCGGGACTCTGGGTAATGATGGTGCGGGATGCTCTGAAATGCCACCAGGGCCCCGAGACTTCCCCACTGGATCAGGGACTCCCAGGGCCCGGAGGGGCTCAGGCTCGGCCGCCCTCAAAGCCCAGGGCCTCCCCTTGGCTACCCAGGCCCTCCCTCATCAGGAGACAGGGCCACCATGGGCGAGGTGATGTGAAGCCAGCAACATGCCGGCCACCTCCCTCTCTCCCTCAGCCCACTCCCTTATCCACACACCTAACCTGTGGCATGTGTGAACACAGCGCAGGCAGGCGTGGGAGGGACACTGGTGGCCACTGCTGCCATCTGCAGGGGAGGTGGCCCCGTCCAGGGCCTCATGAGTAAACAACCTCACGAGGGAAGGACGCTGATGCTAAGAGGTCCCTGCCCCTCGGGACACACGACCTGTGAAGCAGCCCAGGTCTGCGGTTGGGGGTCTGAAGGGGCTGCCAGGACGAGGGCCCCGCCTGGGTGGCCCTTGAACCCACAATGAGTCTTGGCTGCCCTAGTCCGAGAACAAGGTCCCTGAGCTGGGGGGTCAGATGGGACTGGAGGGGCAGGCAGCTGTTGGTGGCCCTGGAGGGCACAGCGGTGCCTGGAGTGAGTGGGCGAGTGAGTGGGTGAGACCAGAGCATCTGCCCGGTCTGCTGGCCCCACCCCTGAAGGAGCCTCCTGGGGCCTCGCCTTCAGCATCGGTGTCTGAGCCACGGCTTGTGGACCCAGAAAGCTGTTCCTGGAGCAAAGCCACTGAGGGTGCAGGCCTCCTGCCCCACCCTCTCGGCCCTACCTGAGGAGGGGAGCTGCTCCCCGGGGGGTGGGTGCCCGCGCTGCCCATGCTGGCTGGAAGGTATGAGGCTCTGAGCCAGTGGCTGTGGGCCCAGGCAACCTGGGCAGGGGAGCACCAGCGGCCTGGGCGCCAGAGCCGGGTGACTGGCCAGCCTGCCAGCCCCCACCCACAGCAGAGGCCCTGGGCAGGGCTCCCCTCCCCTCCTCTCTCTGCTCAGGGCCCACCTCTCAGTTCCTAGGGTTGGGGACTGGGGTCTTCTGTGGGGCCTAAGGGAAGTGTCACATGGCTGGGGGCGGGCGGGAGGTGGGGAGGAGACACAGCCACAGCCCCTCCCCTGGGGCCAGCTGAACAGCCACAGGGATTCCTATAATGACACACTTTCCAGACCTGGATCGTTGAGCCGTATTAGTCACGCCAAGAAAACGTTCCGAAAGTAGTGGGGTCCAGGTGAATGTGTCACGGCTAATTTATCAGGAAGGAATCTGGCTGTTTGTGAGTAACTGTGGAAACAAACACCCGTGTTTTCTATAGAACAGGCCCTCATTGTGGACACGGTAGAGGGGAAACGTGTGGCTCATGCCTTTGTGTCTTCCCACGAGGCGTGGCCTGTGGGGTCCATATTAGTTCACACCACTCCCTGCCTCACTGTCCCCTGGAGCCTGCCCTTCCCGGTGCCCGGCTCAGGGTCCAGCTTGTGTCCTGGCGGCCGAGTTCTCAGGTGGCCCCTGGGGCCAGGCCTGTGAGGGTCACATCCCGTTTGCAGGTGCTGTTAAGGTGGCCGAGAAGTTGACTGTAGGATGGGAGACCACCTGGGTGGGCCTGACCTGGCCGCACAGCCCTCTGTTGCTGAGAGGAAGGGGACACGTAGAAGGAGCCGCAAGAGCCCCACGCCAACAGGAGACCTAGTCCTCCAGCTGCAGGAAACGGAATTTGGCCAAGGACCCCAATGAACTTGGAAGGGGGTCCTCAGGGCCCCAGTCGGACCCCAGCCTGGCTGTCACTGTGATGCTAGTGGTGAGGACCAGCTGAGTCTGGGACTTCTCACCAACAGACTGTGTGCGAAGAGTGGGTGCTGTTTAAGATGCACTTTGTGGAAACTGATATGTCCCAGGGGTGCCCCGCCCCCCCAGCCCAGTGCTCACCCTGCCGGTGGAGCTGACATCTACTACCTACTGGGCAGCACTCGGGAACCTCACCCACTCGCGGCTGTATCCTCCTGACTCTCAGTGAGTGGGCTCCCAACTCCCAGTAAGAAGCTCCCGTTCCAAAGAGGACATGCAGATGGCGAAGTTACATGACAATATCCCGGGCTCTAATCATCAGGGAAGTGCAGATCAAAGCCACAATGAGAGATCACCTCACACCTGTCAGAATGGCCATCGTCAATAACTCAACAAACACAAGTTGGCCAGGATGTGGAGAAAAGGGAGCCCTCGTGCACTGTTGGTGAAAATTCAAATTGCTGCAGCCACGATGGAAAACAGTATGGAGATTCCTCAAAGAATTGAAAATAGAACTACCATATGACCCAGCAATTCCACTTCTGGGTATTTATCTGAAGAAACCCAAAACACGAATTCAAGAAGACATACGCATCCCTATGTTCATTGCAGCATTATTTAAAATAACCAAAATATGGAAGTAACCTAGGTGTCCATCAGTAGACAATTGGATAAAGAAGATGTGGTACGTATATACAATGGATTATTACTCAGTTATAAAAAAGAATGAAATCTTGCGTTTGTGGCAACTTGGATGGACCACTTGAGGGCATATGTTAAGTGAAATAAGTCAGACAGAGACCAATGTTATATAATTTCACCTATATGTGAAATGTAAAGAAACCAAACCAAACCAAACCAACTGAGCTCATAGATACAGAGAACAGAGAGAGGTGGTTGCCAGAAGCGGGAGTGGAAGGTAGATGAAACGGGTGAAGTGTCTCAAAAGGTACAAACTTCCAGTTATAAAATAAGTCCTGGGATGTAATGTGCAACATAGTGACTGTAGTCAACAATACTAGATTGTATATTTGAAGGTTGCTAAGAGAGTATATCTTAAAAGTTCTCATCGTAAGAAAAAAATTTTGTGACTATGTGTGGTGATGCTAACTAGACTTACTATGGTGATCATTTCACAACATATACCGATATTGAATCATCACATTATCCACCTGAAGCTAATAGAATGTTATATTTAGTTATACCTCCATAAAAAAAGAACAATGATAATAAGAGCACAGCTACTCCCCAGTCACCTGGTAGTGGTTTCTGGAGCTGCGAAGCCAGAGGTCAAGTGGGCGTGGGCAAGGCAGTCCATCTGAACCATCCCCCAGGAGACAAGAGCTGGTAGCACAAGCCTGGGCTACAGGAGACGAAGGTGCTCAGGCAAGTCTAGGACAGGTGGCATGTGTGTTCTATCAGAGGTGCAGCACATGGCACACTCATGGTATGCACACCTCCCATGGTGCACACGCCTCATGATACACACACTTCATGGTACATACACCTCATGATACACACACTTCATGGTACATACACCTCATGGTACATACACTTCATGGTGTACACACCTCATGGTGCACACACTTCATGGTACATACAGCTCATGGTGCACACACTTCATGGTACATACACCTCATGGTACATACACTTCATGGTGTACACACCTCATGGTGCACACACCTCATGGTACACACACCTCATGATATACACACCTCATGGTACACACACCTCATGGTGCACACACCTCATGGTGCACACACCCCCCATGGTGCACACACCTCATGGTGCACACACCTCATGGTGCACACACCCCCCATGGTGCACACACCTCATGGTGCACACACCTCATGGTGCACACACCCCCCATGGTGCACACACCTCATGGTGCACACACCTCATGGTGCACACACCCCCCATGGTGCACACACCTCATGGTGCACACACCTCATGGTGCACACACCCCATGGTGCACACACCTCATGGTGCACACACCTCCCATAGTGCGCATGCCTTATGGTGCACACACCTCCCATAGCGCACATGCCTTATGGTGCACACGCCTCCCATGGTGCGTACACTTCATGGTGCACCCGATTCCCTGTGGCATGCTCCCTGCATGGCACACACATTTCCATGGCACGCAGCCCGTTGTACAAGCACCCACAGTGCACCCCACAGAACTGGGGCTGATTTGCTATGAGCATGAAGGCTGCTTTTCAATGTGGAATGAGGTACAGTCATGTGACTGGGAAGAGAGTCTTGGTACTCCTCACATCCCCTTGGCAGACTGTCTCTGTTGCATTTTCCCAAAACTGAGCCCCTGGATAGGGACCCAGGGCAGGGTGTTGGGAGCCCTGAGTGGTCACTTCAGTGTGCTGGGATCCTATGTCCTCACAGGCATAAGGAGCTGGTGGAGTGTTTTGTGTGTATGTATGCATGTATGTTTGTATCGATCGGTATGTATTTATATAGGCACGCACACACAAGCATGCATATTTGCACATCTATGTGCACATGCATATATGCACACGTGTATGTTCTAATATAAATGTATTTGCACAGACATGTATGAATTTGTATGAATGTCTCTGGGTATGTAAGTGCATGTGTGTATGTATTCATGTATATATGTGCATGCATTTGTGCATATGCATGTGCATAGGGGTGTGTGTGTGTGTGTGTGTGTGTGTGTATGTATGTATGTATGTATGTAGCCAGATACTCTTGGAAGGGATGAGGAACTGTGGTGACCACTCTCCTGTGTCCTGCATGGGAGCAGCGCCTTCTAGAATGCTCCAGCTGGATGAGATCAGCTGTGTGACCTACACATGCCATCCAGACGCAGCCAGGGGCTCACAGGAAGCGAAGCCCCTGGTTAAAAAGCCTGTGCGAGCGGTGGGGGAGGGAGGCACCAGCTTCCTCTGAGTCACACATGGGGTCTGTTTCCAATTATGCATCCTGATGGCAGAGACCGGCATGTGGGGAGCTTGGTGTTTGAGAGAAACCCTACGCAGCCTGGTGAACCCCTCAGATCCCCTCAGCTCTGTGGTTAGTCAGTCCCACGCCCTTGGGACCGTGGCTGTTTAGTCTCCAGCATCGGGAATTTTCTCACCATTCTCCATAGAATCCCGGAGGCCCCAGTGGGTTGGGGCATGGGTGTGGGCAGTGGGGACCCTGCCCAGGCCAGAGTCAGGAGTGACCCCTGCCCAGCTGGGTCCTTGGTGCCTTCGCCCCAGAATGAAGGTTTGAGCCCCCCACACCGGAAAGTCATGGGGCTCTGCTTGGGTGATGACTTCCCAGCGTGAGGGGGATGCAGAGTGGATGGTGGAGGAGGGACAGGATGAGAGTCACAGTCCTGAGACCTACTGCTGTGGTTCACCCCACCGACCGCCCTCCTCTAAGTGTCCTCCTGAGAGAGGCCTGTGGGGCTGCTCTGGGCCAGAGCAGAGAAGTGGGTCCTTGCAGTGCAAAGCGGAGTGTCCATGCCGTGTGCACCAGGAGAGCCAAACCGTGTTTGAGAACCCCCAGGCGCCCTTCCTGGCCCTCCCCCACCCGGCCACACCTCACGGGGATGACCTGCCTAGTGACTCAGTTTGTGGAGATACTAATGCAGGCCATTCCTGTCACAGGACCCCGTGAAAGGGAAACTGGGTTCCAGAGCCCTCCACCGCCTGCCTGAGCCTTCCCAGCCCATGTGCAGACCCAGACTTCCTGCCGCCCCCACCCCTCCCCCGCTCCTCTCGCTTTATCTCTCACAGATGTTTCCCCAAGACATCTGCTCTAATCCCCTCTTGGCGCCTGCCTCTTGACGGACATAAGCTAGTACTCCTTGTCTCTTTTCGTTCGAATGCTAGCATTTTGTATTAAGCCCAGGGATTAGTCAATGTTTTTGAGGCACGTCTCTGCCTAAATGGTTCACTGCATACAGTCGTTTTAGAGCTGAAGGGGACCCTGTCTGAGATTGACGTGTGCTACCGTCAAGATTCCTTCCGAGCTCGGCGAAGGGAGAAAGCGTTACGCTGGGTTGACATGTGTGCTTTAAGGTCCTCTGCCAGTGAGGGAGGCCGTGGCAGCAGGTACTCGGAGGTGCTGGAAGGGAGCAGAAGCTGTGCCAGGGAGGCTGCTAGTCCAGGAACAGTCCTGGGTCTCCCAGCTGATGATATGACCCACAGGCCGCCACCTCGCAGCAGACAAGACCATCTGGGCGTCCACGTTCCCCGACTCTCCCAGGTCTGTCTGCTCGCTGAGCCCACATCCTGGGCCGTGGTGACTCGCAGCAGCAGGAGAGGCGCGGATGGCCTCAGCCGGTCCTGACGGCTTGTCACGTTCCCCCAGGCTTTGAGGCTGCTGGGCTGCAGCCCAGCCTCACCCTTGGCTTCTAGTCTGCACATATTTTTAAGGGGTGGGTGGGGAATTTCTAGCCTAGATATTTTCAGAGGGCTCTTGGATGGGAGAGCTACACATTGCTTTTCAAAGGATTATTTTGCTGGAAATTCTCTCCCCAAACTGTACCGTGAAATCACCTTGGACTGATCTTTGTATATATCCTCATTGACGATAAGGGAGGTGCTCGATAGGATCGAGTTTAGCGAGCAATGATGAGATAATCTGAGAGTCTTCTGCTCTTATTCAATCTAACCGGGGCCTAGAGTGGCTGAAAGGTGCCAAAGGTGACCCAGTGAAAGGGGGGCTGGGAGAAACGATTGCATGAAGGGTAGGAGAACACTTGCAATTTTGGCTCATGGTGAATTGACGAGTAAAACTGGCCATTTGAACAATACGCTAGTGTGTGTTAGAAAAATTTCCGTAATATTGGAGTACAGATTTGAGATTCAAAAATGGGTGGAAATGTGAAATTCATTATTTAGGACCACAATGGACCAAGCCAGCAAACATGAATTGGGGAAGCAGTTGCAGCCCCGCGCTTTGCAGCCTGCCTCCTCTCTGTGGGACCATCACGTGGTATGCGGGTGGACAGGAGCACAGGAGCGAGGCTTCCCCTTACCGGCTTTGCCACTAATTTGCTGTGTGGCCTCTGTGCTTCTCAGCTGCCTCCCTTTGCAATGAAACAATTGGGATAAAGAAAAAGATTTTTCTAGCAGCCAAATTCTGGGATTTCTAGAGACAAGGATTCCTCAGCTGCAGGGTAGGTGCAGCCTGTTCCATCATCAACAGCTCTGGTGGTGAGAAGGAGAGGAGGCAAGAGCTATGAATGATTTTCTTCTTCTGTTTAAAATGAGAGCAGGGGTGGAAGATGTGGGAGCAGAGACTTCCCCTGCATGGGCCCGGAAGAAGCCCGTCCCAGGGTGGAGAAAAGATCACCAGGGCCCTTTGTCCTTGGTGCCCTGGGGAAGCGGGCGTTTGCCCAGCCTGCTCTGGTGGAATGAGGTACAGAGCGAAACGGGAGAGAAAGAGTCAGTGAGAGTTGGTTGGGTTTCTGGAGTCTGCATCCTGCTGAGTTTCCAGCGCTAGGTGTCTGCTGGAAAAATGGAGTGGGAGCCGGTGACACAGCTGTGTGTGTTTGTTTTTGATGTTACCAGAGAAACAAGAGGGAGAAATAAAAAATGAAGTTTCCACACAAATCCAAACTGCCTCCCCAAACGTCTGTGTGCATGGAGAAAGCAGGAACGCTCGGCCCACGTGCCAATAACGCTGCTCTCTGTCCCGCGTGGCCCACACCCACATGCACACATGCTCACTCACACACAGAGCGGAAAGGCAAGTTGGTTTTTCCATGCGGGAACGGGCTGCCCCTCAGACTCAGTGCCAGGAGCGGTGCCACCACATCAAGTAGCTCTTAGCCAGGGTCGGGAGAAACACACTGCATTGACTGTTACATTAGATTACTCAGTGGATTAAATAAAACCACCCAACCTCAGAGAGCCACACTGGTCTGCATTATTAAGTGGTTATAAATAGGCGGGGAGGGATCGCTATTAGCACATTAAACGTCAGAACACAGGGGACCGGAAAGGAGGAGCCTTGATCTCTTCTGACTTAAAGAAAAGGCAAGGAGCCAAATTCGACAGGCCAGAGGGGCTGTAATTTCTCCCCCGGGACCCACCCAACACAGGCCCTTTACAATTTCAGGTCTTTGCAGAGCAGATGAGGTGCGAGGCCTTGCCAATGCCCTCTCCACAGCAGGGAATGGGGTGGGACCAGTCTTCTTCTAACCAGGCCCCAGAAAAAAGGGCACTGCATATGCAGGGTGCCAGGCAAGCGTGCCAATGGGTGGGTCATCTGGGCAGTCACTGGGCTCTTGTGTATCTGTGAAGTGAGGCCCTCTGGGCCTCAGCATGTACATTTCCATCGCTCCTGCACAGCTATAGGACCATCACTGTGCCTCCCGAGGGAGGGCTCCTCAGAAAGACTAAGACACGGTGCCTGGTCTCAGGCACCCATCATAGAGACAGTCTGCTTAGGCCTCTTCCTTTCTTTTTCTTTCTTTCTTTCACTGAGATGAAATTCAGCATTTTAACCATTTAAAAGTGTATACTTCATTGGCATGTAGTACAGTCACAATGTTGTGCAACCCTCATCTCATCACCCCAAGAGGAAACTTTATCCCCATCAGGCAACAGCTCCCTTCCCCCTCCTCCCTCCCCAGCCTCTGGCAATCCCGTCTGCTGTCTCCGTGAACGTGCCTATGCTGGACAATTCATACAAATGAAACCACACGATACGTGACGTCTTGTGTCTGGATCCTTTCACCACGCAGAATGTTTTTAAGGGTCCGTGGCTGTAGCACGGTCAGTCCATCATTCCTTTTTGTGATTGGGTCATACCCCAATGGCTGGATGGATACACCATAATTCAGCTATCCATGCAACTGTCTTTTGGGGAGCTGTGTGAAATTAGCTTCACTCCCTCCCTTTACTGTGTGAGGGGAGCAGGGATGGGGAGGTGGGGCCATTTCATTCTGGACAAGCTCTCAGGCAGAACCAGAAGACCCTCAGAACCCACTGGAGTTTCCACCATCAGTGCCTGCATCTAAGGCTCCAGATCTACAGGGCTTCCTAAGCTTCCAGTCTGGTCCATGTGACTACAGATGGGTGACCCAGGATTCTGTAGTCCCCAGGGCAGTAGAGCCAAAGCCCAGGGGGCCTCTGATCCCAAACACACCCGTGATGGGCCTGGCAAGAAGGAAGTATGGAAGTCACCCAGTCCCAGCAGGAGGAAGTCCCGCCCCTGGAAGTCACGAGGGGGTGGGTGGAGCCTATGTTTGGGAGGCTCCTTCTGGGTAATGAAGGCTCACACTGGAGGAGAAGCGGGGAAGACTTTAGAGCTGCAGCAAGGAGGGAACTGATAGGCAGCTTCGGTCCAGGGCTTGCTGTGCGGAATCAGCTAGAGAGCAGCCCGCACAGGGTCGCCGCGGATTTCTTCCAGGCCTGAGGGTTTAGGCATGAAGGCTTGGACCCTTTGTCCAGCGATTCAGGACTATTCCTCGTGCTCTTCTCACAACGTAGCCAGTGATGCCAACGAGGGGTTCACATCCCTGAAGTACTGACTGCACTCTGCTCACTCTCCTCCAACTTTGTTTTTTTTCTCTTTTGAAGACAGTGCCTGAAGAGGAGGGGCTGAGGGAAGGCACAGAGGGAGTGTCACCTGAGCTCT